GCGCTGAAGGCTTGAACTTTGGGCTTGGAGGGGAAGGGGGGGGGCTGGTGGGGGGGGGGGGGGGATTCGAGGCTGAAGCTTAAGATTTCTTGGGTTTAGGGTCTTTCGGTTTCAGTATGGGGTCAAAGTACTATCGCTGCCCTCAACCCTTTTCAAACCGATACCGAAAACGTGAGACCATGCGGCTGCTTTCGCCGGATTCCATAAGCGGGGGGCGGGACTCGCTCTTCCAAAAGCATGGCGGACAGCCGACATGTCCCGTGTGCCGAGGCATCGACACCCAAGCAAAAATGCCTGATAAACTCAGCAAACGGATTGAGAGTTCAAATTTTAGTATCTAGTAAATTACTGTTGATGGAGAAGGGCGATAGCCGTCGAATTCTTGATATGATTATTGGCATGGTCGCGATGAGTGTTAGCACCATGCTCAATAGCATGGCTCATGCCAGACATCTGGAGCAAGAGAAATCCCATAGTCCCCTCTGCTGGGGCTCTTCGTGCTTTAGGGTTACGGGATTGTGTGGCTAACCCTAAACCCTGAAATCTAAACCCTAAACCCTAGGCTTAGGTGGGTGTGTATAAGCCTTCAAAAGCCTAATGTAGAATAGGGTTTTGGGGCCCTTTGTACTAAAATTATCGTAAGGAACCCCCAAACAAATAGCACAGGTAATTTTTCAGGCTTCTAGATTATAGGCCCTAAATCGATTATCGTCACCACGTCCGGGATCTCTGGAATTCTTGAAAGTGCAGGGTCTTGGGGGCGTGCAGAGGTTCGGGGGAGCAGAAGGTCAAAGGATTCACAACAGGGTCTTTGGGTCCAAAAGCCTTGAAACATGAGTCCTTTGTGGGTAAGGGTAAGTGTCTGACGGACATTTGGTACTTTAGAAACTGAGAGAGTGTAGAGTTTTCGTTTCTTAGAGCCCCTCAGCTCCTTGCTGAATGTTGTACCAAATCCTTTGGAGCCCTATAGACCCTGATAGTTCGGCACTGGGCTGCTTAGGGATAGTTTTGTGGGTTTGACGTTCTTCAGCTTTTGCATTGCATTGCCACGCGATGAAGGTTTAGGGCGTCAGGAGGTTGATGGTGTATAGTTTGGGGGTCACGTCTTCGCGCTTGATACAGGGGCCTCAATACGGTTTAGGGTTGAGGGATAACTCGAATACGGTGTGGGCGTATCTTATCGTAGATTCGTATGAAGCAAGCAGAAGGGAATACTACTTGACCGGTACTTATTCAAGCTCTAGGCCTAGGTTCCATGGAATTTCTGAGATCGCAGACGCTGGACTGGCGCTGTGCCGAGCTCAAAGAAAGGACATCCACGGGAGTTCCAAAGAACCAGCGACCCTGGGTCCTGGACCCTAAGTGAGTAGTGGGTTTTAGGGTTCAGGGTTTAGGGCTTAGGGTCCGGGTTTTAGGGTTTAGTTTAGGGTTTAGGGTCCGGGTTTTAGGGTTTAGTTTAGGGTCTAGGGTCCGGGTTTTAGGGTGTCCATGTATATTCTACGGCATACGGCCCCTAAAACCAACGGCCTCTACGTTTCAGAACACCTCCCACATCTAAACAAACCTCCCCTGCTTGGCAGGTCGATGTCGGAAGTTTGGGGTTGGCTGGCCCTGTCTGACCGACCTCTTGCATGAAGACGATAGCCGTTTAGGGTTTTGGGTTTTTGGGTTAATCTTTGGATCAGTCTCAAAGCAGCACTACTTCCTTTCGAAGCCTTCCTGCTTGTGCAAACAAGCAATGAACATCGTGTTGGTGATGCCTATGTACTGAAGAGCATAACGAGTATGATGGTGACGATGATGCATCTCTACTTCATAGCCGTCAGGCCTGCAGGTGTAGTCATAGTTGTGGTCATGATAACATCCTTAAACACGACCGGGAGAAGACTACACATATACATTACCCATGGGCCCTAAAGTAGTTCCTTTTTGGGGTTCATGTATAGAATCCTAAAAAGTAAGCCCAAAAAGGAACTACTATGGGGCCTATGGGTAATTGCTCGTTGTAGTAGTCTCAAAGCTGATTGCTACCCAAGGCAGCAATGATCGTCAACATCAACCATCTTCATGTTGGCTGCCAAGTTCATACTGGCGCATGTGATCCATGTTCGAGGCAAGGAGGGCTAGTGTATACCATCTGAAAGGATTCCTAGTTTAATGCAGTCCTCAAGCACCTGGATACGCTTGAATGCTTGTCGGACTACGAACATAGCTTGCACTACTAAGCACTGGGCTAGTGCATGAGCTGAGCAGACCTGCCGCATGTCTTTCGGCCTGCAAGGACCTATGTATACCTGCACACAGCTGTTTCTTCATCGTGAAACCAAATATCTCAGTACCATTTGATGATTAGCTACCTTCGTAACAAAACCTACGAAGTCAGAGAGATCTGATGCGGGCTGTCATGTACTACTGAGAACTACTCGGCCTAAGGACTGTACATCTTAGGGGAGATCTCATGAAAGCCAGGAGCACTTCAAGCCCAAAAACGAACTGCCGGACTCTGAAATGTAATCTGAGGTTGTAGGGTGCACCTGCGGGCTTCCACCATACGGAGTAACAAAAGCTGTGCTCTGCCAGAACCCCAAACTCTCGGATCACTAAAAACTGATGAAGTCTTCCTTAACCATCACCTGGGCTTTGAGATAATCAGGGAGAAAAGGGTATAAGCTTGTATTTCCTTACCGATGGTTCCTTCAAGGGACAGGCCACAAATCAGTGAGAAAGCATAGTACTCAAAAGCCCAGGCACATCTTTAACCAGCACATTCATCGCGGACTCCATCATAGAATGCCTCGATTGGCAAGTCGATGACGGTACCGAATGCATGGACGAAACTCGCATCCTGCTCAGGGATGGCGTGCTCGTCTGTGCTTGTATATATATACACATACATGTAAATATAGTGTGTATATATATATATATATATATAGAGATCTATCTACCTGTTTATGTGTGTAAATATTGTATACAAGGGTTCAGAGATATCTATTTAGTATTTGGGGTTGAGTTGTGGGGTGCTCCAATTAACAAGGAAGACGATTTCGCCGAAGAACTTGCTGCTCTTATGTTGCTGTTGCTTCTACCGCAGCTGCAACGTCTGTTCATGAAGGTACTGGTTAAATCGTGTTTGTATGATGATGTTGTTGTTGTTGTTGCTGCTGGTGGTGCGGCTGCTGCTGCTGCTGCTACTGCCGTTGTGCTCGGAAGTTGCTGGCGGTGCAGGTGCTGTTCTTGCTGCGACTGATGCTGCTGAAGTTGCTGGCGTCGAAGCATGCGAATTGATACGTTGTTGAGTTACTGCTGGTACTGCTGATCTGTCTTGATGTTGTTTGTGTTGCCGTGCATGTCTGGCGACGTTGCTACTGCCATTATTGTTTGGCAGTGGCAGCACATCAGCACTTGTTTGAGCATTTTTGAACCGGAATTGTCGCCAATGTTTTTGCGAACGAACCGTGAGAGTAGCCGTCGCCGTAAGATTTGTACAAGTATTAGTCACTAGTGTAGCAGCACAGGTCGTCGTCGTCGTAGTAGAGCAGGAGTAGTGGTAACAGCAATATAGTCTATAGAATCAAAAGTAGTACCCTGCACGTTCAAAATCCGATCGTGGCACCATCTGCAGTTTCTGGGGTTGATGCGCGGGGGGGGGAGGCTGTGCAGGGCGAATTAGGGGGCGAGCTTCGGGGAGGGTTTTGGTGGACACTAAGTTCGTTCATGCTGTGCGACAGGTCGCTGGGCTTACAGCGTTTCTGTCCTTTCGAACACTGCGTCTCGAATGCTTCAGAGCAAGATACGCAGTCGCAAGCGCAAAACACTGGCATTTCCACTGCTTCTATCGTTCTGTACTTCATGTACTGCCTACGAAGGGTTTGGAGGTTCTGGAAAAAACACGCTGTCGCACGCATCTGTTCAACATGCAAACATGCAAAAGCTGCGGTTCTTACGGCATGTTTCTTAGCTTTGAAAGTTAGACAGGCCAAGCGTGAGCTTCTTGCATTACGCCGCCCACAAAAACACAACCGATCAACTGACGACATGAAACACAAACTGCAACTGCCACTCCCCGGGTGTCAGGACATTGGATTTCGCTGTCGCTTCGAACGCAGAGCCGAATAACCAGTAACCATTGTAATTCACTCTGCTGCAGCCTCTGGCTTCGAAAATACTGCACAGGAAAGACGCACATTAGTGTATCGGCATCGCTATTCAACATTATGATTATTACCATTATTAGCAGTAGTAGCGCTAGACGTCGTAGTAGAGGGAGCAGGAGGAGAAGCAGTAGTTGTGGTGGTAGCAATAGTAGTAGTGGTGGTCGTCGTCGTCGTAGTAGTAGTAGTTGTTGTATTAGCAGCAGCAGCTTAGTCGCCATCATCGTCGTCGAACGAGGAGTGGTGGTACGCAGCCCACTACACCGAAAACCTAATAAACACATCAAAACCCTGAATTCCTGATACTGAACCCGACACCTTGAACCCTACGGCCCTAAGGCTCTTACAAGCACGCGCGCCGAGAACAAATCGTCCTCCATTCAGTGGTGCCTTTCGCTTGCACACGGAATGCGATCTGCTTGACCCTCAACTCCAGGTCCTGGAGTGCCCGGTTAAGGGTTGGTTTAGGCTTAAGGGTTTAGGGCGCCAAACTTTTGACTCTGGTTGTACATATAGTCTCCATCGTCGCTCCCTTCTTTTGGGTTGAACCTACATTGGAGACTACAGGTAGGGCTTCATATCTTGAAGGCATCAAAGAAGTGGGCTTAGGGATGTAGGCTGCAAGAGTTTTGCGGCGTCCGTGCCTCAGGCTCCAAAAGGGCAACCACTTGCTGCGCAGTCCCCACATAGGATGCCAAACTGCCAAACCCTGAACCCTAAACCCTAAACCCAAAACCCAAAAACCTAAACTCCTGAACCCTAAACCCTAAACCAGGACAGTCTCATGATGAGATCTCACAACAGGGGTCGACGCGTTTACGACAGAAACGCCTCCTCTGCACCCTTGGAGACCCATCTTTACAGTACTACGTAGTGACTACCTATTAGGGTTTAGGGTTTAGGGTTTAGGGTTTAGGGTTTAGGGTTTAGGGTTTAGGGTTTAGGGTTTAGGGTACCCTGTGAGTGTAGTATCGTTTTGGGGGTAACCGACTTTATGGTGAGGGGTCAGGATCCTATGATCAGAAACTACTTAGGTGATCAACCAAAGAAGTACTACATTCAAGGGTCTAGATACGCATGCAGTGTTTAGAGAGACCTTCCGGGAAGGGACTAAGATCCCATGTCAAGTAAGACGGATGCGCTTGCAGTCCTCCTGCGTGCTGGAGTGTGATTGCGGGGCAAATACTGTGGCGATCTCTTGGAACACAATGCCGATCATTTTGACGTATACCTCGCGCTCGTAGTCGTTGATGTATGCCTCTGCGTCGCAAGCATCCGTGTACCTTTGGCATGTCAGCAGGTCTCTATCATCTACAAACACATGGAAGTTGCTTTAGTTTCGTCTTTTGCACGTCTATGTAAATCTCGAAAAGTTACCAATAGAGAGCACAGGGACGGTTCCGTTGGTACCAGGAAGTGCGGATCGGCAATGATCGGCAGGATGACTGGTGACGGCTCATACAGATCAACAAGCCAAGCAGCCAGATCGCTTGATTTTAAGCAGCCCGAGGTACAAATCAGCAGGACCTTCCAGTGTGCATCTACTTGCTCTGGTATGGGCTCGCCATGCCGGAGCATCAGTGGCAGGAGCTCGCCCTTGAGAAGAGATACCAGCATCTCATCCAGTATGTAGCACGTAGCAACTGCTTCCTGGTTTGCAGGATCTGCCAGAAGCAGGCAGTTTGCTGCAATCGGCGATTCTTTGCTCGAGTTCCTCCTGTCCTTTACCGACGACACCGTGCCAGTCACATTGTCGCAAATGCGAATCAAAGAATCAGCATCTAGGAGATCTGGGAAAGGGACCACATTTAATGATCCCAGCCACTTCATGGCCAGCGACACGTCATCTAGAGATATGCCGTGCGCTGCAAGTGCCTCCACTTCTGGAGGAGGAAAACTGAAGCATCCCATAAGTGCGAATCCCAGTGCTAACTTCAAGAAGCATATGGGGGGTGATCAAAATTATGGGCCCTTTGGAGTCTGTGCTGCAATATATTCCTTATAGTTTAGGGGACCAAAAGGGGCCCATAATTTTGATCAACCCCCATATACTTTCTTCAGCCGGTCGTTTGGGTCGTCAATCGCTTATCAACTTCCTGACGTTAGCCCTTACCATCAAAGGACTCAGATTTTAAGGCTTTTGGGCCCAAAGACCCTATTATGGAAGGCTTTTGGGCTATGATGATGCTAAGGGTAAGAAAAGAAAGACAACAACTGTACGTAATGGCAGTGCGGAGCCCCGCCTCCACTCCAGGAATTGCAAACGTCAGGTTCTTGCGAAACGTCTCCGTGGGGTACTGGAATGTGGGCCACTTCAACAGAACCGTGTGGATATCGTGCTGCTTGGCCGTGACAATTTCTCCTACACACCACTTCCGTGCCAGGATCGCAGGACTTGCCAAAACTAGGACTGTCCTTGGTTAACGGAAATTACAAGTGGGGAGTTTAGGGTATATAGGGCTTCTATAAGACTTCCATAAGGTATATAGACCTTTTATAAGGCTCCTATAACGGTAACTACCCACCTGAAAATGTCCTAGACTTGGGTGGATGGAGGACCCGACATGCTCAGAAAAGCATCGTCTCCATGAAAATGAGAAGGAACATGACGATCATACGAAAACCTGAACCCCAAACCCTAAAACCCTAGTGCCTTTGTGCGGACCCGCGTTATGGGGACCGGCACAGAGGAAAACTGATGTGATGTTGTTGGCTGCTCCAGACCCATCAACCCGTTCAACCTTTAAGGTTGAGGCTTTGGGGCTTAAAAACGTTTAACAGGCTTTAGAAATCAATGCTAGTTCAGACTTTAAGCTCAATCCTTAGACCACCCACCACTTCTCTGCGCCAAAGCAGCTCTGAATCCTTTACGAAGTGAAAAAGCTCCGTGAGGTCACGCAGGTTGTCGGTGTCCAGGAAAGTAGTGAAAAATGGGCTTCGCTTTTGAAGGTGGATCTTCAAGAGTCTGGCGGCGGCTCCTGGGTGATTAGGTTGGTTGGTTTAGGGTTTAGGGTTTAGGGTTTAGGGTTTAGGGTTTAGGGTTTAGGGTTTAGGGTTTAGGGTTTAGGGTTTAGGGTTTAGGGTTTAGGGGTGAAGTCTTGGCAATGTCGGGGCTCAAAGTTGCTCCATCTCCTCAAACCCATCCCTTTCTCCTCCATGTCGCTGCTCTTCAGGATCCCTGTCAAACCCTTAACTTCCCCACGCCCACCGTTTCTCCTGTACCCCTAATCCCTATACAACTCTCAAGCCTAGCCCTTTGTATCCCTAAACCCTAAAGCCCTAAACCAGAATGCCATAAATCCTAAACCCTAAACCCTGAAGCCCTAAAGCACTAAACCCTAAACCCTCTCTCCTGTTGAGCTCTTGTGGTGGGACAGGAAGAACCGCCAGGGCTTCCTTCTCCACCGGGCAACCTGCATCACCTCTTCTGCAAGGATGTTTGGCTTTCAGGGTTTATAAGGCTTATAGGATTTATAGGGTTTAGGGCTTGTAGGATTCATAGGATTGAAAAGGTTTATAGGCTATAGAATCTTTAGGGTTTATAGGGCTTCTAGGGTTTATAGGGCTATATAGGGTTTATAGGGTTTAGGGTTAGGGCTTGGGGTTTCAAGGCTTCGGATCTGCATGGTGTCTGGAAAAAGGACTCTTCGTGGTCGATCTGCTCAAGGGCTTGCGGTGTAGGGTTGTTTCTGGCTTCTGCATGACCTCTCAGGAAGATGCTGTTTTGTTTTATCATTGGTTCTTTGCATACTTCTTAAAGGGCTTAGGGTTTGGGGGCTTCGGGCTTGGAGAAAGGACGTTTGCTTCTTTGGTTTAAGGACTTTGGATTTGGTGCTTTTTGCTTCAGGGGCCTTACTTCGTTGTCTTAGCAGGTTGTTTGCTGTTGGGTTCACGGGGTCCATCGGACACAGAAGTTGGGCCTCTGTGTGGAGAGCTTCCGGCTTAAAGAGGGGCAACCACGCCAGGACTCTTTGGAAGTAATTCGTCGCAACAAAAAATCGTGTTTCGGGTGTCGGTTCGTTGAGTTCGGATATCGGTAGGTACAATGGATCCAATAATCTACTGACTTGACAGTAGTACCCAGTAATTATAGAGTCATCGCTTGCCGGAGTGTTTTTTGGTTTGGGGGATACAGGCGCAGTCTACAACCGATCGGCTGTAGGCGGTAGGACTGCTATACTTGCAAGCAGGGCATAAAGTCAGGTGCAGCAGCCGTGCCCTTGGTGCTTTTGTCTTTATGAAAAGCTTTGGCGCCTTGCACTCCGACTACATATCAATCGTTCCTTGCTACAGGTCGATGTATACATGTATGCAAGAAAGTATGCATGTATGAACGAATGAATGAATGCGTGTATGTATGAATGTGTGTCAGACTGTCTGTCTGTGACGCATGTGTGTATATGTATGTAGGTGCATGTATATGTAGGTGTATGTATGTATGTATGTATGTATGTATATGTATGTACTTGTATGTGCGTGTGTGTATGTATGCATGCATGCATGCATGCATGTAGGCAGGCAGGCAGCTAGGCAGCTAGGCAGGATAGCCAGGTAGGCAGGGTAGGTCGGTAGGTAGGTGGGCAACGTAAGGCAAGGCAAGGTTAGGTTGCTAGGTTAGGCTAGGTAGGTAGCTAGGTACGTAGGTGTGTATGTCTGTGGATGTATGTGTGTGTTTATACATGTATGTGCATCTGTACATACATACATACAGACATACATACATACATACATACATACATACATATATATATATATATATATGTTTGGTATGCATGTATGTATGCATGTATGTATGCATGTATGTATGTATGTATGTACGTATGTATGTATGTATGCATGTATGTATGTATGTATACGTATGCATGTATGTATGTACGTATGTATGCATGTATGCGTTTATGTATGTGTAATGTAATGTAGTTTAATGTAATGTAATGTAATGTAATGTAATGTAATGTAATGTAATGTAATGCAATGAAATGTAACGTATGTATTTATGTATGTATGTTTGTATGCCTATATACATAATATATATATATATATATATGTGTTTGCTTGCTTGCTTGCTTGCTTGCTTGCTTGCTTGCTTGCTTGCTTGCTTGCTTGTTTGTTTGTTTGTGTGTGTTTGTGTGTTTGTGTGTTTGTGTGTTTGTGTGTTTGTTTGTTTGTATGCATGTCTGTATGCATGGCTGTATGTACGTATCTGTGTTTGTATGCATGTTTTATGCATGCATGCATACAGACACACGCATTTGCACATACATCTCTCCAAACCCATGCTCAAAACAACGAGGCTTGCCGCCACCAAACTGAACACCTAAAACCGGGAAATTTTCCTTTATCGCAACCCCTAGACCCCAAAGCCTAGCAGGTTATAAGCTCGTAAAGACCACCTAAACCCCAAAAGAGCTTATGGTTCATGCACCAGATACGGTTCTATGCTAACTATAGCATATAGGGATCCGGACATTTAAAGCTCATTCGGTCCATAAAACATATTCACTTGTTAACTAAGATAGTGCAGAGGCTCGATCCCCCACAGAATGGCACCCAGGACGCCCGCAATCATGAAGATCAAGAACATCATAGAGATGAAGGTGGAGACAAACACATCCTTGCAGATCCGATCTCAATCCGGGGCCATGAAGCTTCTTCGAGAGCTTGCAGAAAGCGCATCATGCAAGTCCACATGTAATGCGAGGTACTGGGATGCATCTTTACAGCCCTATCACCAAGATGGTCTTGCAAGAGCTCACGGCGGCACCGTAGGAACCCTCCATTTAAATAGGGTGTTGGTTTGGGCATGGCTTCCGGGACATGCTAGACTAATTTGACCTGCTCTTGTTCTGCAGGGCCTTGTAGTGCCCTCTGAGTTCTACATGAGGATATGTGGAAAGACCAATGCGCACAAGGAGGGGGTTGTGGAGTTTAGGGCCCAAGGCTTTTCATGTTTGCATGTTTGTTAGCTGAGGCATGCAGCATGATGTGTGGTACATTGCTTACCTAACGGGTGTTGGAGTCCCTGGGCAGTGGTACACAACTGAAGGGCTTAGCATCTCGTTTACTTCCAGCAAACCTCATGTGCCAATTGTTGCAGTCCCTGTCGCTATATGAAGTCGGGTGCTCACATCCCGAAACCCTTAACCGTGTTGCTAAAGGGTCTTTGTTCTGGGCATATGGCAGCCCGGGCGATCTCAAAGTAGAAGCTCAACAAACCCAAACAACAGGACCCCCCAGATAAAACCAACAACTTAGACTACAGCACAAACACCTAAGGCCTTAACCCCGAAAAACCAGAGCCCTAACGCCTAAACACCATCCTCTGAAATCGTAATCCCTAACCCTAGGGCTCCAAGTATACAACTAGTGCCTACTTTGGGGTCTAAAGTCTATAAATAGTACCTGCTTTGGGCTATTTGGAGCCCCTGGGTAAAGATACCCAACATCAGGCGAAGGCTCAACATCCTGTGCTGCAAAGACCGATGCCATGTCCAGCACTACCTTCGTCCATGGAGCACGCGATATAAAGGTGCAGGGGCGGTCAGGTTATAGGCTTTACCTTAACCCCCAAGAACTGCTTTTTTTAAGGACTTATATAAAGAAAATATAATAAGGAGCCCTAAAAAGGTAGGTTCTTTAAGGTCCAGGTAGGGTTAGTGGCCAGGGTTTAGGGTTGGTGGTTGGGCTTCAGGGCTTGGGGCTGCTACGACGAATACTATATTATTCGGATTAGTAGGGCCACTATAAAGGCCTTCACCTTGAGTTCTACCCATGGTCACACAACCATATCCCAAGCTAACGCTTGGCCGAGAGTGTTCAGTCCCAAAACTTCATTCTTTAGGGCTAAGGGCTGGGTACTGCCCCCCCATACAGTAACAGTCCAGCTGGTCCACTCACACACAGAAGATCTCAAGAGACCCGCTGCAGAATAGGGCTACCATAAAGGGCCTCAAAGGGGGGGTGCAACATGATTCCGCTGCAAGAATGCACACATACGTAGCGAGGCCCCGTGTACATCTCTGCAATAGGACCCTCCAACACTTGAGGACCGGGAGCCGGGATTTAGGGGTTTAGGGGTTTAGGGGTTCAGGAGTTTAGGGGGGGTTTGGGTTAAGGGTTTAGCGGCTTAGGGTGTGGGGTTGGGGGTTGGGGGCTTAGGAGTTTTTGGGCTTGGGGTTTAAGGGTTTAGGGTTTCGGTGCGCCTATGAACCGTCCAGAAATTAGACACTTGGATTTGGGGAAGGTTTTGTATACTCAAGAAGGGGAATCTCCGTCTCTTTTTTGGTTCAGGGTTTAGGGTTTTTTGGGTTACCGGAAGATGAGCAACAATATCGTGGAAGAGACATCGAGGCTAGCAGCGATCGTGTTTGGCTAGTCCAAGCACCTCAACACGGGGAGTTTTGGGAGCATTTTTCCAAGCTGAAAGTTTAGTGTTTTAGGATAAGGCTGTGGGGCTGCAGGATGTTAGGATTTCGGATTTTTTATTGTGGTGAGTCTGAGGTTTCGGGTCCATAAACAGTCACTGACAGGATGCGAGCAGGCCGATGTGGAGCCAAATGTCCAAAACATTGCTCATCGGAAGCCGCCACGGCTGAGCCACTGCAATTGTCACCAGGCTCAGATAGAGAATGATGTTCCTGTTGCGGGAGTCAGGGTAGACTGTTGGAGGGAGTACTTGCAATACCATGTCCCTTCTCAAAATTCACCTGGGATCCGAAATCGAAAATTCAAGAAGGCCGAGGAACATGACGACAAGCTGCACGGCTGCAGCAGGGATCAGCGGGCACAGCACCATAAGAACATTTCCTTAGCATTGCGAAGCATACTCTACAGCCATGCCAGCTTTGCTTCTATTTTCTGGCGCTGTACGTAGTCTGATAGGTAAACTTCAATTACAGTAAAGTAGAAGCCAGGAAGTTGGAACATCAATATTCTCCTCACACCCTTGAGATAAAGTACAGGGGATCCCAGCACTGACCAACCTAGACCCCAGTGTAACCAGTGTAGGCTGCGCATACTCAAACTTTCTAAGACTAGCCGTGGTGCATGTACTGAAGTGGTACATACTTTGGCCTTCAGGTAGTCCTATAGAGGTGCTTTGAGGCCAATATATATATATATATACATTAACCCTAAACCGTAGAATATAGATATACAGATATACTATTTGGACGTATGGACCCCTCTGGGGACCCCACTATATATATATATATATATTCCTATAGGACCCTCGAGTTGAGGGCACCCCAGTATAGAACCCAAAAGTACCCTTCAAGCGAACCGTGCAAAAGAACCTCTAGGACCCTTATCTATAATCTCCATTGTAGTTCTGTTTAGTCGGTTAGTCAAAGGTGTATCATAGGATCAAACTGGTTAACCAAAAACACCCTAAACCCTACCCTAAACCCCCTAAACCCTAAACTTATAAACCCTCAACCCCTAATCTGAACCCCTAAACCCTAAACCGTTAACCAAAAAAGGAACCACAATGGAGACCATAGGTAGGCCCTAAACCCTAAACCCTAAACCCTAAACAGGGCTTCGGATCTCGGACCTTGGGTTCTCTTTCCGGGTTCGCTGCCAGGGACTCCCCGGACGGGTCGGTTCAGAAATGGCCCAAAGTGTTGGAACAGTTTAGGATTTCGGGTTTAGGGGTTTAGGGTTTAGGGGTTTGGCATTCAGGGGTTGGGGTTTCGGGCCATAGGGTTTAGGTTATTGATGATGATGATGATGATGATGATGAATATGATGAATGTGATTCTTCCAAAGCTCGAGTGAGGCCGAGCACAGCAAACGTCTCCTGGGCTGAAGCATCATCTGCGGGCTCTCGGCTTCCGAGGTGTGCAGGGGTTTAATTAAAATATCGCATTGTAGGGTCGTGGGCTGGTGTTGAGGGTCTAGGGCTTTGGGTTTTTCGGGTCTAGATTATTTAGCCGAAAGGGTTGAGGGTTTTAGGGCGTCGGGGGTGCCAAGATTTCCGGACTGGGTGCAATGGCGTAGGGTGCAGGGTCCAAGATGTACAGTCTTGCATGCGATGCTTCGAGCCTTGAATTTCGGACTAAGAATGTAAAGAGAAAAAGAGAGAGAGAGAGAG